AATGACCTCTACATTAGAGAAATTAGATGACTATTCAAATATCTTAGAATATCAATTCATTATAAGTGCATTATATTACCGATTATAAAATAACTTGGATCACTACGCGCGTTCTGATTGGCCGACTGCCGTGTTTGTATCAGAGTATGTAAACATGGTTTTGACGTCACCATTTTTTGTCAAGTGCGATTCAAAACTAGAAGTATAGAACTATCAGCTATTTATACAAAAATGTATCCGAAAACTTGCCAACAACTAGTTATGAGTATTCTGCATGAAGTTTTAGTATTTCTTGTAGTTTTTGAGTGCATAGAATCTTCGGTATAAACTATAGCCGATAAACAAAGCAACTTGAAACTGGAAGTGAAAAATCAAAAACGTAATAATCTTAACTGCATCTTTATTATTGTAAATAACGTGTGAAAAGCAAGTTACATTTTTCTATGAAGCTAAAAATTGAGGAATTTAGTGAGTATTTTGCATTTTATTGAGATACTACCGTAAGAAAAGTACTACAAGAATATGTCGATTTGCGCTTGAGAATCGAGATTTCTTTCAGTTCAACGATTGTTCATAATGAGTCTCTTTATAAATTCGTTACATACAAGTACACGATAAACAAGCTACTAGTTTAACCTAAAAATATGAATACCAGCTTATTTATTAAACGTAATTTATCCGACCAAGGTCTTTATTTGTAGCTTTTTTCGTACGGATTGTTGTCATTGCAGTTCTTGCATCGCTCACATAAAATTATCTTCAGTTTGATATTGTTACCAGATACCAGTTCAATAAAAAATCTCTATGAACATGAATTCCACTCTCGATGAATTCCATTCTCGATGGTTATGCAAACCTCGACTTCGTCTCGGGTTTGCATAACCGTCTCGAATTCTCCCAACCTACCCTCGTGTTTGCATCAGGCTATGTAAACACGGAAAAAGTTATCTATTACTTAAATATGTATTGCTAATTAAGCATTAGAAGATATTTTCCGTGTTTCTATTCTCTGTTAGAAACACGCGGGATTGTTGGGAGAACACGAGAAAAGGTTTTGAATCACGAGCTGAAAGCGAGTGATTCAAAACCTTTTCGAGTGTTCTCCCAACAATCCCAAGTGTTTCTAACAGAGAATAGAAACACGGAAAATATCTTCTAATGCTTTTATAAAATAACAACAGCAGATAATAACGAAGTTAAAGTAAGAAATTGCATTTAATACGTTCGATCGCACGGCAAATTCTCTTAATCGTCAAATCAAGAAATCGACCAATCAAAATACGCAATGCATTTCTAAACCTGGCGAGTTTGAGGCCGAGAAGAAATAGTTTTCTTTCGATGAAAAATTCGACTTCATTCTTGCAAAGTGTCAATACAAAGACCATAAGAAACGCTGATCAAGTCTAAAATTATTTAAAAGGGAATTTCA